GAACCAACGCTCACCGTCCTCGGCCTCCGCGGTGGCAGCCGTGCCTTCAGCGAGTCAGTCCACCGGCTGCAGACTGCCCACCCCGGACCACGCCAGCAGTGGACGAATGACCGACCGTTCGGTATTACTTTCCTCTCAGCGGCGATTAGCTGCGACCCTGGATGCCCCTCGGGGAATGGCGGCCGTGTCCCCTGGCCAGGTGCACCTGGGATCCGTACGAGGTGCGGTTCTGTCTGTCCTTGCCGCCTCTCTCCTCGGGTCCCTCTCGGGCCGGATTCAGGCCGCGTCCACTTGACCTTGGACTGCGGGGTGGTTGTTTCCCTGCGCCCCACCCTCGCCGGATGTCCCTTGGGAGCCCCTCCGCGTGGGGGGTCGGTGATGTCTGTCCCCGCCGCCCCTCCCCCCGGGTCTCCCCCAGGCTGGGTTGCCGACAGGCTTGCATCGTGGTCTCGGAGGCGTTCGTCCCCACGCCCCAGGGCTGCCCAGGACCCCCGCTGACGGCGGTAACTTTACCTCACCTTCAGCGGCGGTTAGCTGCGACCCTGGACGCCCGCGTGGAATGACGGATTCGACGGAGACCCTGGATCCCTGCGGGGAATGACTGATTCGGCGGATATGGCAGTCCCACGGTGGGCTTCGGCGTACATCAGGCGGCAGCTGCCGTGCAGTTCCACCCTGGACGCCCCACCTTGCTGGCGATGTTCTCTCCCACTAGCTTGGCCTCGCGCAGCGCTTCAGCCGGCGCCCGCGCAGCTGTGCTTGGGTGGCCCCCTGCAGGTGCGGTGGCCCTTCATGTTGCGCGGATTGGCGGCCCAGGAGGTCGGCCCGCTTCGGGTGGTTCAGCCTTCGCAGCCTCGGCCGCCCCCCGGGCCCGTCCCACCCCCAGCCTGGTATTCGACGTTCGTCGGAGGAGCAGTTCAGCTGGCTCGCACACGCCGTTGGCGCGGCCTGGGCCTGGCGCCCCACTGGCGACGGCCCATCGCCTACCACGTCTGGACACTCCGACGGCACGTTGGACACGCAGCCCGCAGCTATCGTCCTCACGCTCCTTCGGATTTTGCCACTCGGCACATCTTGAATTCACCAGCATTTTGCCGTGTTGCAAGTGCCCGAGCACCTTGGACGCCCTCTGCTTGCCGCTCCCCCCGCGCAGTCAGCCGCTGCTGTATGAATGGGACGGCCGGCACGCGGCGCGTTTAGCTGCTAATCTGGCCGCTGTCGTGACCCGTAGCGCTCCTGACTCCGCTTGCGCCTTCGCTTGCGGACGCGACCGAACAAATATCTTTATCAGATCATCCAGAAACGATGCGCGGGCAAGTTGCCCTGATCAGGACAGCGCGGATGCAGCGGAACAAAGAGAAAGGATGACGAGACACTTTGGCGAAACATAGTGGGCAATAAGGGCGGGCTGCGAGCTCCGCGGGACGGGCATAGGAGCACTGCCATGGAAAAACCCGCGGGTCCATGCTGGGTCTCCCGCGTGAGAGGGAGCAGAAGGTGGGGGAGATGAAGGGCGAGAGGGGGCCTGGGCGAGAAGGAGATGGTGAACGAAAGGAGGGACGCGCACGATGACGACGATGCAGTGCCGTTTTTAATACATGCTCCGCGTGCGGATCATGCGTTCAATTATGTAAGGATTTACTACTAAAACCAACGATGAGTTCATGCATGCATGTATTCATACATCAGTCATGTATTAACAATTATATATTTAAAAATTCCAATGCATTAGAATCTGCCCTGTAATGAGAACGGGATGACGAGAAGGAGGTGGGATGATGCAAGAGAGGGAGGGATGGAGGATGGAACCCCCCTAGCAGATTCATGGGGTCATCTAGGGGTCTCCCTGGCGCCTGCGCGGGGTCACGCGGCGTTCATTTGAATATCATGGCTCTCTTGGGGCTGGCACAGCGTATTGGCGGCCTGGTATGGGAAGACTGCATGGTATCCTTGAGCTGCATCGGGGGACTCAGGGACCCCCTGATTGAGACCCATCCCACAACCGTTCTATCAGGATCACAGCTTGCAACACAGCCTTCATTATCAGCAGCAGCATCATCATCAACACCACAACCATCGGCATCATCGTTATCAAGTCATCGCCGTCATCGCCACTACACGCCATCATCGCGTTCGCCATCGTTCCTAGCAAATCCCCATAGTACTGTCCCCACCAACCGTCATTGACGCCATCACTATCATCATCCTTCTCGTCATCATCGTCGTCGGCATCCCGTTCGCCAATGAACATAGTGGCCACGGTCACCATCATCACCATCATTCTCTTCACCGCCCGCAGCGCACAACCCTACAATTCAGCAGTAGCACAACAGCATTAACACCATCTATTACACAACCAGCGTCATCAACGACATCATCGCCAGCATCACGTTTGTCATCGACAAAACGTACGCCCAGGAGTGCAAATACCAACCCAGAGTGAACATACTTATTGCGAAAAACACAAAAATTAGCAATGACATCCACAGACATTCACAGACATCCAATAGATCAGAAGTCGTTTAGAGATACACCTCAAATCACAACACCTTCCGCACCTTCCGCACCTTCTGGAAGGGGCGGACGGTGCAGGTGCAGGGATTGCTCGAAGACCAGGAGTCTTTCAGCAGGACCTTCAAAAGAGCTCCTCGGGACGCTCCTCCTAGCCTTTTGGGGCACTCCCAGGGGCCGCCTCTCGGGAACCTGCGAGGAGCCTCTCCACAGTCTGCTCCTGGGTGTGGAGGCCGGGGACGCGCCGGCCTGGGCCAGCCTCCCGCCCAGTCGGCACTCCAGGAGGGGCCACCGGGCCGCGGAGTGCTCCAGAACGTTCCCCGGATCGGTCGTGGCTTCGGCTTGACGGCTGGCGCAAGCGGTGCGCAGCGAGAGGGAAAGAGATATATATATATATATATATATATATATATATATCGGAGGTGAGGGGGTGAGATCGAAGTGGAACGGAGAGCCCCCCTACCGGGAAATCGGTTTCGGTTTCGTGTTCGTGCGTGCCGAGCGTGCGGGCAAGGCGAAGCTGCGTGGGCGGGCGAGAAGAAAGTCTCCTCCGGCTGAGGCGCGGCCGGACCAAATGATTCCTTTCCGGGGGCCGGTGGCCCGCGGTGTCCCGCCGGTGTCCCGCCTCCGGCTGAGGCGCGGTCGGACCAAATGATTCCTTTTCGGGGGCCAGTGGCCCGCGGTGTCCCGCCGGTGTCCCGCCCGTGTCCCGTCAGTGTCCCGATGATGATGATGATGATGATGATGATGATGATGATGATGATGATGATGATGATGATGATGATGATGATGATGATGGTGATGGTGATGGTGATGGTGATGGTGATGGTGATGGTGATGGTGATGGTGATGGTGATGTGATGGTGATGGTGATGGTGATGGTGATGGTGATGGTGATGGTGATGTGATGATGGTGATGATGATGGTGATGATGATGTTGATGTTGATGTTGATGATGATGATGGTGATGGTGGTGATGATGGTGATGATGGTGTCTCGATGATGATCATGATGATATTGACGATATTGTTGATGATGATGGTGATGATGGTGATGATGATGGTGTCCCGATGATGATGTTGATGATGATGATGTTGGTGATGATGATGGTGTCCCGATGATGATGATGTTGATGGTCCTGATGATGTTGATAATGATGGGGTGATGATGAGATGATGATGATGATGATGATGATGATGATGATGATGATGATAGTGTTTCGATGATGATGATGATGATGATGATGATGATGAGGTCGATAGTGATGCTGTTGATGATGATGGTGATGATCATGACGGTGTCCCGATGATGATGATGACGATGATGGTGGCCCAATGATGTAGATGATGATGTGGTGAAGATGATGAGTTTGATGATGTTGGCCTGATGATGATAATGATAATGATGATGATGATGATGATGATGATGATGTTGATGATTATGGTGTCCCGATGATGATGCTGATGATGATGTTGGTGGTGATGGTGATGGTGACGATGATGATGGTGTCCCGATGATGATGATGTTGATGATGAGGATGATGTTGCTGATGATGATGATGATTGTGATGATGGTGTCCCGATGATAATGATGTTGATGATGTTGTTCATGATGATGGTGATGAGATGATGATGATGGTGGTGTTCCGATGATAATGATGGTCTCCCGATGATGATGATGATGATGATGATGGTGATGTTGATGCTGATGATGGTGACGATGACGGTGTCCCGATGATGATGATGATGATGATGATGATGATGATGATGATGATGATGATGATAGTGATGATGATGATGATGATGATGATGATGATGATGATGATGATGATGATGATATGGATGATATTGATGATATTGATGATGGTATTGATGATGATTGTGATGAGGTGATGATGGTGGCGATGGTGTCCCGATGATGATGATGGTGATGATTATGTTGATGACGTTGATGACGCTGGTGGTGATGATGATGATGATGATGATGATGATGATGATGATGACGTTGATTGTGAGATCGATTGTGATCTCGATGGTGAGATAATGAGACCGAATGTGAGATCGATTGTGAGATCGATAGTGGGATCGATAGTGAGATCGATTGTGAGATCGACAGTCAGATCGATTGTGATATCGATCGAATGAAATCGATTGTGAGATCGATCGGGTGAGATCGATCGAGCGAGACCGATAGTGAGATCGATAGTGATATCGATAGTGAGACCGATCGAGTGAGACGTTGGTTCCTTCCCCCGAACCTCCTTATCACCCGAAGGGTGGTCGTATAGGTATAGGTCTATATATATATATATATATAGACAGAGACATAGAGAGAGCGAGATGAGAGAGAGACAGAGAGAGGCAGAGAGAGAGAGAGAGAGAGAGCGACAGACAAAATTAAAGAGGGAGGGAGAGAGAGAGAGAGAGAGAGAGAGAGGGACAGAGAAGCGGCACTTCTGCCGCCCCCCGTCTGGCGGGAGCGGCGCGCAGGCGGCAGATGATCCGCGAGCTCAAGAGACGCCACGGCGGCGCGGACGACACGGATTGGCAGCGCCGCCGCCGCCGTGGAGGAGGTCGGCGTCGTTGTCCCAGGAAGGAGTGGGTTGGAAGAGGGGATTGACGGGATGTGGTGGGAGGATGACAAGGAGCAAGGGGAGGAGGAGGAGGAGGAGGAGGAGGAAGAGGAGGAGGAGGACCAGTGTAAACCGAATATTCATCAACGATGTTGGAATAAACTCTCCCCCAAACTCCCTCTTCATAGGCCCCAGCATGTATTAATTTTATTCAGAGGAAACTGTACCGCTGAGAGACAGCCGTTTGAATATCCTGAATCGTGCCAAAACATCGTTCTCAGGGGACTCAAGCACCATTAAGTAACCTTCTTGTTGCGTCTTGACTGCCAGAACACCGTTCCTGGGAGTTTGATCTTGCGAATCAGCGATACGGTGGCGCCCTACAGTCCCGAATCGCTCCAAAACGCCATCTCTGAAACGTTGACCATGGAAATTGTGAAAGCATTGCAATCGTTTTTTGACGAGTGTGCGCGGCGCTATGGCGAGAACCACATTTTGAAAAGGAACCATCCTCAATCCGTGAGTCCCTTGCAACATTTTACGACGACTGTGCACGGCGCAAAGGCGAGACCCACATTTTGGAAACGGCCCGCCCTCAACAAATTTGCGCGGCGATAAGGCGAGAGCCACATCTTGAAAGCGACCCGCCCTCAATTGTGAATATTTTGCAAATGTTTAGGACGAGCGTGTGCGGCGCTAAGGCGAGAGCCACATTTTGAAAACTGCCCGCCTTCAACCCGTAAAACTGTTGCAAATTTTGCAGACGAATGTGCGCGGCGCTAAGGCGATAACCACATTCTGAAAGCCGCCCGTCTTCTATCTGCGAAGGTGTTGGCAATTTTCAAGCTTCCCGATCATCAATGGCTGGGGAGTCTCCAGCGAAACGCCCGGCCCGTCCTTCCGATTGGCCTCGGGGTGCGACAAGGAGGAGTAATGTATCAGGAAGACGAAGGGAGGAGGAGGAAGAGGAGGAGGAGGAGGAGGAAAGGTAGGAAGAGGAGGGGGAGGAGGATGAGGAGAAGGAGGAGGAGGACAGATGAGGGAGGACGGAGGAGGCAGGAAGCGGAGGATGAGGAGGAACAGGAGGAGGAGGAGGAGGAGGAGGAGGAGGAGGAGGAGGAGCAGGAGCAGGAGGAGGAGGAGGAGGTGGAGGCGGAGGTGGAGGAGAAGGAGGAGGAGGAAGCGGAGGATGAGGATGAGAGGGAGCAGGAGGAGGAAGGAGGAGAGGAGGAGGAGGAGGGAGGAGGAGGAGGAGGGGGAGGAGGAGGAGGGAGGAGAAGGAGGGGAGGAAGAGGAGGAGGAGGAAGAGGAGGAGGATGATGATGACGAGGAGAAGGACGAGGAGGAGGAGGAGGAGGAGGAGCAGGTGGAAAAGCAGGAGGGGGAGCGCAGAGCGCAGACCAGAGCTTGCGGCTTGCTGGCACTACCCTCGTCTGCCCGAGTCGAACCCCATCGGGGATCAGGAGGAGGAGGAGGAGGAGGGACAGGAGGAGGAGGAGGAGGAGGAGGAGGAGGAGCAGGTGGAGGCGAAGGCGGAGGCAACGGCGGCGGCGGCGGAGGAGCAGGAGGAGGAGAAGGAGGAGTGGAATGAGTAGAGGGAGGAATAAACATATTAATCATATGGATAATAAGGATATTAATAGTACTATTTCTAGTAGCAATAAGAAGAAAACGAACTATAACACTACTATTCATTTGAACACTAATCATAATACTTATACTAGAAACAAGACGAACACGAATCATATGAATACGCATAATAGTCATACTAACGAACTGCACTAAACATATACTTAATATTTTTGTATCATAATGAGAGGAGGAAGGAGGAGGAGCAGGAGCAGGAGGAGGAGGAGGAGGAGAAGGAGGAGGAGGAACAGAGCATGAGCAGGAGCAGCAGCAGCAGCCGTAGGAGCGGTCTTCGTTCCGCCCCCACGCTGGCCGCCGCGGCCCGCAGGACGGGGCCGAGTCTTGGCCCGAGGGCGAGGCGATCGCCGCCAGCGCGTGCGCGCGCGCCCCCCCCTGGTGGGAGAGGCGGGAGGCCAAGGGGCAGGCCAAGAGGTCGGGCGGGCGGGAGGCAGGAGGGCAGGAAGGGGCCTTCGAGCCTCCCCGCGGGGGGCGCTCCCGGCGCTGCCTGCTGCTCAGCCCACTGCTCCTCGCGTGCTCCCCCCTCCTGGGGCCAGAGGCGGCGGCGGCGGCCACAGCAGCAGGGGCATGCAGGGGGCGGGCGCCCGCAGGCGGACCAGGCCAAGCAGGCGCGCGAGGCCGCTCTGGCCGGGAGCATCGCAGCCCTTGGCCCTCTCGGCCGGCCGCTCAGGCGTCGCCCGGATCGTCGTCGTGGTCTTCGTCGTCGCTGCCGCCGCCGCCGTCGTGGTTGTCGTGGTCGTCGTGGTCGTCGCATGGCACACCATAGATTTCTAGAAACACCTTGTCTCGGGTCCACAAAAACTAACACACACAACACAACACCACACCACACCACACCTCAAGCAGTGGCGAAGCGTCCTGGCGTGCCTATAGTCCTACCAAACAATGTTCTAAGAACCTGTTGTGGTTCCCACGAAGTGTTCTTAGAACATGTCTGGCTTGGACTGTCTTGTTCTATCACATCGGGTTTCTGTTCAAGGAACATTGTTTTGGTTCTTAGAGCACTTTCTGGGTTCTAAGAACATTTCGTGGTAGAACTATAGGAATGCCGAGACAATCAATCCCTACTCAAACACCACACCACACCACACCACACCACACAACACAACACAACACAGCACACAAAACACACAACACACGCCACACACAACACGCACAACCCACACACACCCACACCCCCACACACCCACACACACAAACACACACACAACACACAACACACACAACACAACACACACAACACACAACACACAACACAACACACACACACACGCACGCACGCACGCACGCACGCACGCACGGACGGACGCATGCACGGACGCACGCACGCACGCACGCACGCACGCACGGACGCACCACGCACGGATGCACGCACGCACGCACGCACACACACACGCACGCACACACACCATACACACACCACACTCACACGCACACACCCAAGCACGCACAGGCACACGCAGGCGCACACGCACACGCACACGCACACGCACACGTATACGCACACGCACACGCACACGCACACGCACACGCACACGCACGCGCACGCGCATACGCACACGCACACGCACGCGCACGCGCACACGCACACGCACTCGCACTCGCACACGCACACGCACACGCACACGCACACGCACGCGCATACGCACACGCACACGCACACACACACACTACACACCACACACCACACACACATCACACACCACACACACAACACACACAACACACGCCACACACCACACACCACACACCACACACCACACACCACACACCACACACCACATACCACACACCACACACCACACACACCACACCACACACCACAGACCACACACCACACACCGCACACCACACAACACACAACACACAACACAGACCACACACAACACACAATTCACAGCACACCACACACACCACACACCTCACACAACACACAACACAACACACAACACACAACACACAACACACAACACACACCACAGACACACAGAACACACCACGCACAACACACACCACAACACACAGCACACACACCACGCATACTACACAATACACACCACACACCACTCAACATACAACACACAGTTTACAGCAGACAGCACACAACACACACCACAACACACAACACACAACACACAGCACACAACACACAACACACCACACATCACACAACACACAACACACAACACACCACACACCACACACCACACACCACACACCACACCACACACAACACACACCACACACCACACACCACACACACCACGCACAAAACACACAACACACAACACACAACACTCAACACACCACACACACAATTCACAACAGACAGCACACAACACACAGCACAACACACAACACATAACGCACAGCATACAACACACAACACACAACAGACATCACACAACACACACACAACACACACCACCCAACACAACGCAACACACCGCAACAGAACACACTACACCACACCACAACGCAACACAACACTACCCAACACATGACAACACACCACAACACAACACAACACAACACACACCACACAACACACAACACACAAACACACACACACCCACCCACCCACACCCACTCACCCTCCCACCCACACACACACACACGCAAGCACGCACGCACGAACGCACGCAAGCACGAACACATACACGCACACACACACACACGCACACTCACGCACACACAAGCACACACACGCAGGCACACCACACAGACACCAAACACACCACACACACCACGCGCACACACCATACAACGCACACCCGACACACACACAACGCACACAACACAACCACAACCACACAGCGCACACACCACACAACGCAACCCACACCACCAAGACACACAACACACACACACACACGCACACACCACACAACGCACACAACGCAACCCACACCACACACCACACACAACGCACACAACACACAACACGCACACTCGACACACAACACACAACATACACAACAAACAACATACACAACACACAACACGCAACACACAAGCACACAGCACTGGGGCAGCTACTATGTGTTCAGGCAGCTCGAGCTTAAGGTCCAGATCAGTTTGGTCAGGACTCGGATGCAAAGGAAGACTCGATCCACGACACTATAGAGCACAACCGCGGCATGGCACATCGCAATTCAGCACGGTGCAGCACAGCACAGCCCTCAGCACGGTACATCAAGATCGATACAAGCAGCATTGCACTTGCCCGCCACCCAATCAGGTGTCTTTGAAAACGTTGCCATGCGTTCCATTTCTATATTCCTTTCCGGGTTCGTGGGTCGATTATGTTCTTCCGGGCCGCCTTGCAGGAAGCTCGTGCCCCGCCGCCCCAGAGCTTCGGGTTGAGGGTGTGGCTTCCTGGAGATGCGCAGATCCGGTCAGCCCCTCAAGCTCGGAATCCGATTCAGGCTTGTGCCCATGTTGATACAATGGTTCAGGTTCAACCTCGTACTGACATTTGCCTGTACGCGTATTCAGAATCAGACCAGATCTTGGCTCATACACTCGAGCTGAGACTGAGACCCAGGAACGGGGTAAGCTCAGACTTGGACTCAGCCTCTGAGTCAGCTTCAACACCAGACGAAGACTACGAGGCCTCCGCAGCTTCCAGGACGCAGCGTGTCCGCTTTTGTCGCGATGGTTTGACCGGATTCCCAAAGAGGCGCCCACAGTCGTCTTTGGGCGGTATGGAGGGGTTTGAGGGCTGTCCTGGGGTAGCCGTCGGCAGGTCACAAGTTGTTTTTAGGGGGCGTCCCTTGAAGGGTTCTGGCGGCCCAGGGCTGCCTGGGGGGATATCTTGTGACCTTTTTTTTTTGGGGGGGGTGGGGCGGTCTGGCTTGTTGGCGTTCTCTAATTCCTTGTTGATGCCTTTGAGGGCGACAGGGTCGACCAGCGCAATGCTTGTGATAATCGACAAATTGACGATGCTCTAGGCTTCCCAGTGCTCTCTTGGACTCGCATCTATTTTTTTATAAGGCAGAATGACGTGTCACCAAAATGCGCCCAGGACTTTCGAAAACAGGCTCAGGACAGCCCAACATGCTTCCAAGACGCCCCAAGAGCTTCCCAAGAGGACCCCGTAGCCAATTTGGCTCAAGCCAGTTTTGGCTCAAGGTTCCGAGGGGCCGTCGCCGGCCTTCCAGGGTTCCCTTCGGCCGTCTCTCGTTCAGGACCTCTCAGCTATGCGCATCTGCAGACTGCATGATGCGCCTACGCACGTCTCGCAGCGTCGGCGCGCTGCTCCTGCCGCTGATAGCGCGCGGCGCCCCGAGCGCCGGGTCGCCTGCGAGCGGGGCGCTGGCCCGCCCGAGGCTGGAGGGCTCGGCGAGCGGTCACCCTCGAGAGCCACAGGCCGAGCTCGGGAGGGGCCAGGCCACCAGGGCGCGCACTTGCTCAAGCTCTTGGCGAGTGATGGGGCCGCCTGGGACGCTTTCGGTAAATCGGTGGCCGTGAGCTCCGACGGGGCCCGCGTGGTGGTGGGGGCCCACTACTGCTATGACGATGACGACGGATCATACGGATCCAGCTCCGTGTACGTGCTCGACGGGGCCACTGGCGAGAGGTTGCTCAAGCTTGTGGCGAGTGATAGGGCCGAGGGCGCCTGGTTCGGTAGATCAGTGGCTGTGAGCTCCGACGGGGCCGTCGTGGTGGTGGGGGCCTACTATGACGACGACCAGGGCATAATATCCGGCTCCGCGTACATGTTCGACGGTACCACCGGCGAGAGGCTGCTCAAGTTTGTGGCGAGTGATGGGGCCGCATACGACTATTTCGGTAGCTCGGTGGCCGTGAGTTCTGACGGGGCCGTGGTGGTGGTGGGGGCCTACTATGACGACGACCAGGGCAGCCAGTCTGGCTCCGCGTACGTGTTCGAAGTCATCATCTACGGCTACTACGGCTACTACTACGCCGAGACGACCACCAAGACGGCCACGACGACCACCGAGACGGCCACGAGTTCCGCGACGTCAAGCACTACTACCACCACCAAGACAACCACCGAGACAACAACCGAGACGACCACCGAGACGACCACCAAGACGGCCACGACGACCACCGATACGGGTACGAGTCCGGCCACGTCAAACACCACAGCCACCACCGAGCCATCGGCGGAGGAGCAGCAATATTCCAGGGGATTAATAGCAGTCTTCGCTGGTGTCTTGATCTTGTTCTTTGTGTTCTTTGTCAGCGGTGTCGCGCTGGGCTTCCTGATGGGGCGGATGTCCTGGCAGTGGCAGGGGCCCAACACCCGAGCGCGGTATTCACGACGCGGAGGTTGAGACCAACTGACGCGGAGATCGATGAGCACGAGTCGGATCACCGTATTTAGCACGACGCGGAGGTTGAGGCCTTCCTCTCGTCTCCCTCCCTCCTCCTCGCCCCCTGACGCGCCGCGCAGCTATCCCTCGCACTACGTTCGAGCAACGGGTACAACGATGGCCTGCGAGGCACTTCGCTATACTCTAGTACAGCATGAGCAGCTCACAATGTATGCCATATCTCGGCCTGTATCATCAGGCTACTCTGCAGAGCGACTCTACGCCAACTCACCTTTGGCTTCGAGAAGCCACGTTTGTTTCATAGCATCAGTAACTGCCTAGTCTGTTCTGACACAGGTGGCACAGACTTTTTCCCGGAAAGGGCGCGGGCCCAGGGTTCTCTTTTTGGTTGAAAGCTGTCCCCCGTGCCATGATTGAGGTGGGCCGGCGGATTCTTTTCCGGATCATTATCGTGGTCGAGGTGGGCCGGCGTAGTGGGTTCTCCCCCCCACTTCGACTTGAAGGAGGCCGGCGGAATTATTCTGCTAGTTTCCTTGTTGGCGTTCAGATGTTTAGAAATTGGTCGGCGCCTCAGTATGTGTGCCGTCCGCGCCAAGGCGCGTTAGGCTGCAATGTTGGCTTGCAGGTGAATTTGATTTATTGTAGTGGCCTCCGGCCAGTGCCGCCGATCCGGGGCGCTCCGGATGATGATGATGATGATGATGATGATGATGATGATGATGATGATGGTGGTGGTGGTGGTGGTGGTGGTGATGATGATGATGGTGGTGGTGGTGGTGATGATGATGATGATGATGCTGATGATGATGATGATGATGATGAGGAGGATGAGGATGAGGATGAGGATGAGGATGAGGATGAGGATGATGATGATGATGCTGATGATGCTGATGATGCTGATGATGCTGCTGCTGATGCTGATGCTGATGCTGCTGCTGCTGCTGATGATGATGATGATGATGGTGGTGGTGGTGGTGGTGGTGGTGATGTGACGATGGCGATGGTGATGGTGATGGAGATGGTGATGATCCTGGCTCCCCATCCACCCCCCCCTCTCCTGTCCCTCCCCCCCTCTCTCCTTCCCCCCCCTCTCTCCTTCCCCCCCCTCCTCTCTACCTGTTCCCCCCCCTCTCCTGTCCCCCCCCCCCTTCTCTCCTGTCCCCCCCCCTCTCTCCTGTCCCCCCCCCCCCCTCCTCTCCTTTCCCCCCCCTCCCTCTCTCCTGTTCCCCCCCCCCCTCTCCTGTCCTCCCCCCCTGTCCCCCACCCCCCCCTCTCTCCTCTCCCCCCCTCCCCTCTCTTCCTGTCCCCCCCCGTCTTTCCTGTCCCCCCCCCTCTTTCCTGTTCCTCTCTCCTGTCCCCCCTCTCCCCCTCTCTCCTGTCCCCCCCCCTCTCTCTTCCCCCTCCCCCTCCTCTCTCCTGTCCCCCCTCTCTCCTGTCCCCCCCCCTCTCCCCCCCCCTCTCTCCTGTCCCCCCCCCTCTCTCCTGGGGGCTGGCAGGGGGGGGAGGTGGCGAGCACTGAATTCGTCAGTTCATTACGTTCCTCCCCCCCTCCCCCCCTCCCAAGCAGAGCTCAAGCTCATGCTGCAGCAGAGCTTCAGCTTAGACTTCTTAAACCCACACGCCGGATCGAAGGATTTTTTATCCGTAAGGGCTTCGCCCCCTGCCGCCGGCCCCCTCTCTCTCGGAGAATGGGCCATGGAAGAGCTAAGTCATGAGGCCTTGGCGCTGTCGTGAAGCAGTATCGAAACTTCATGCGAAGCCGATTCGCAATCGGCAAAACCAACTGATCACAAGAGGGGTTACCACACAGGGCGATTGGTAAGACGTGTATGGTTTACGGGATTGGTTACCACACCTTGCGATTAAAGGGCCGAGGGAGTTCTCCCAGTTTGGGTTACCACGCCTTGCGATGGATGTGCATGAAGGGTGGCACCGAATTTCAGAAATGTGGCAAATCCCCTGTGTTTTTGGACCCTGACCTCGCGGATCTGCGTAAGGGGTGGCGCCGAATTTCAGAAATGTGGCAAATCCCATGTGTTTTTGGACCCTGACCCCGCGGATCTGCGTGAGGGGTGGCACCGAATTTCAGAAATGTGGCAAATCCCATGTGTTTTTGGACCCTGACCCCGCGGATCTGCGTGAGGGGTGGCACCGAATTTCAGAAATGTGGCAAATCCCATTATGTTTTTGGACCCTGACCCCGCGGATCTGCGTGAGGGGTGGCACCGAATTTCAGAAATGTGGCAAATCCCATGTGTTTTTGGACCCTGACCCCGCGGATCTGCGTGAGGGGTGGCACCGAATTTCAGAAATGTGGCAAATCCCCTGTGTTTTTGGACCCTGACCCCGCGGATCTGCGTGAGGGGTGGCACCGAATTTCAGAAATGTGGCAAATCCCATGTGTTTTTGGACCCTGACCCCGCGGATCTGCGTGAGGGGTGGCACCGAATTTCAGAAATGTGGCAAATCCCATGTGTTTTTGGACCCTGACCCCGCGGATCTGCGTGAGGGGTGGCACCGAATTTCAGAAATGTGGCAAATCCCATGTGTTTTTGGACCCTGACCCCGCGGATCTGCGTGAGGGGTGTCGATTTCGAGCCCCCCCAGCAATTCAGACAACGCGCCCAGGGGACGCTAAAAAGCCACTTTGGGCCTTCCCCCCCCCTCGCGCGGTCAATCAACTAGTTACAGTAACCAGCAATAAGTCAACTAGTTACAGTAACCAGCAAGAAGCAGAACTGTAACACTGGAAACTACAACCTACGACTGGTACAGGAAACTGCGAATCACGGGCCTACAGCCTGGTGGCCCCACAAGGGGGCCGGCGGACTTTCAAGAGCTGGTCGCTCCACTTTGCGCGCGTATCCTTGGGCAATCGACCAGATCTGTGCGCGCCGCGAGGCGGTTGTGTCTCTGGCGCGAGACCTCGCCAGTGCAGCTTCTTTCTGTTCACCGTCGGAAAAAAAGTTTCTCAAGAGGACCCCCCAGACGGCCCCAAGAGGCGACAATCAACGATGTCCAGGCGGTTTTTGAAGGATTTCAGCAGGCTCGCAATTCTGGACTTCCGAAAGCATTAGACGGTCCAGGAGCATGCCAAGATCGCCAGAGAACGGCCACACAGGGCTCCACGAGGGCGTCAAGACGGCCCAACAGGTCCCCATGACAGCCGAAGATGCCCCCAAAACGACCCAAGAAGCCCCCAAGAGCACCCATACCATGGGCTCAAGAGGAATAGCTCGAGGGAGCTTCGGGAGCCGTGCCCCCAGGACGGTCGCCAGGGCCGTCGCAGGGGCACGGTTCTTGACGCCCGCTCAACGTCACCGACGGACGTGCACATTCTGCGCAGCAGTTCACGGAGGGGGGCGGCTCCTGTCGTTGAAAGTAGGCATTTTGGGATTCCCAGGCTCCAATCTATTTTAGGCGCCTTCCGACTTCAATGATCGAGTGGCTTCATCTTTTCCGTTCTCCCTAGGGGGCGGGCGGAAGCAACATCTATGTTCAACGCTTTCCTACTTGATGTTTCTACCTAGCTCTTCCGACCGATGGGTTTGCCAGGGGGATGCACGCCAGGTTCTTGTCAACATTGTGCTCTCTCGCCTTCGTTGCACAGGCCTGTAAGGGTGCTCGTCTCTCCAGGGGGGGGCGGGGCTTGGCTGTAGGGAAGAGGAGGGCTCGTCTGAGGAGGAGGAGGAGGAGGAGGAGGAGGAGGAGGAGGAGGAGGAGGAGGGGGAGGGGGAGGAGGAGGAGGAGGAGGAGGAGGATCGGCGGCGAGCCCAGGGGGGAGTGAGAAAGGGCGGGCCTCCTCAGAAGGCTCGGGCATTCCCCAGCCGCCTGAGCAGTTTTCTCAGCACATTCCCCGAAGGCAGCGAACACTTCTCAGGAGTCGCGGGGGCTTCTGAGACGTCCCGCCGCCCTAGAGGGCCTTCTCCTTCTCGCTGCCCCCCTGGGGGCGCCGCCGACCGAGAAGGGAGAGCGCACGGCAGCATCGCTGATGCATCGAACGAGGGGGCTCTGGGCCTGCCCGCTCCCGCGGAGTGGCGCCCCGGGCTCCTCACCACCCCTGCCGCGCTCCCCGCGGCGGCTGGGTCACGGCCGCTCCTGCAGAAACATGTTCCCCTTTTAGTGCATTCCCATCGCCATGCATGCAGGAATCGCGCTCTCGCGTGGGATTTCCTCGCAATGTGCTCAGACGCCGCGCCCTCGACACTCAGGAATCAGGCTCTCGCTCTGGCCTTTCTCACGATTTACTTGGGAACCGCGCTATGGAGCTTCTTCTTCGAACGGTGCGGTATGGCAGCACACCACATCATGGAAGTATCTTTCATTTCCTCTGGACTTCTCTTTCCTTTCCCTCCTTTCGCCTTCCTCCTCCCCCTCCTCTCTCCTACCTCCTACTTCCGACGTGCCTCCTGCCTCAGACCTCCTACCTACCACCTCATGCCTACCACCTCCTCCCTTCTACATCCCCCCTACTCCCTCCCCTTCTTCCTTCTGCTGCCTCCCATCGTTCCTCGTACCTCCTGCTTCCTGCCTCGAGGCCACGGCGACACCCTCGGTTGGCGGCAGCGCGTGCTGTCTTCCGAGCCCTTGACCCCCGCCCCCCCAAACTGCTTTCTGCCTCCTGCCTCCTGCCTCCTGCCTCCTGCCTCCCTGCCGTGCACCTCATGCCTCCTGCCTCCTGCATTCTGCTTTCGGCGTTCCGCCTCCTACCTCCTGCCCTCCTGCCTCCTCCCCCCTACCTCCTCCTCTTGCGGACTGGCGACGGCAACCGATGCGCGGGGCGCTGCCGGCGGCCGAGGCCAGCTGCCCCTTGGTGGTTTCCGCCCGCCGCTGGAGCCGTCAGAGCTCGGGGTGGGGGGCGGAGAGGAGGAAGAGGACGAGGCGGAGGAGGAGGAGGAGGAGGAGGAGGAGGAGGAGGAGGAGGAGGAGGAGGAGGAGGAGGAGGAGGAGGAGGACCAGTGTAAACCCAAGACGAGTCTACGATGTTACACTCGATCCTTCCTCCAAGTTTCATCTTTACCACACCAATTTGTTTTCATTGCAGGATATGCCCCATCGTAAGACAGCCGTGTGAGAATCCCTAACCGTGCCGAAACGCAGTTCCTGGGACTTCAACTCCGTGAATAAACGTAATTGGAGCCTTTGGGTTGCCTTCGGAGTTGGTTCGCATCGATTATCGTCCCCTCTTTGCTCTCTCTTGAGGGACCTTTGAGCCATTTTGAGAGATGAGAAGCCCTTTCGGAAACGAAATGGTGAAAAGGCTAACATCACTGAACACTTTGTGCTCTTTTAAAGCCGTGATTTGGGCCTCTCAGGGGTACCCTCAGGAGGCTCCGTGGCATTTGGAGCCGTTTTGGGATTCTTGGCCTTAGAGGATCTCTTCAGGAGCCGCCTCGGGCGGAATATTGGGCATCTTGGAGGCGCAGGGGAGTGGATTTGGAAGCTCTAAGGGCCCGGGACATGCACTTGGAACTCGTAGACCCCCCCTTCTAATGGGATTTTGGGCCCCGGGGGGGGGGAAGGGCGAGGGGGACAGCCAATCATCTTACACCGGCAAGCCTGACCCTTCATTTAAGAAGGAGGGGACTTATGTTAATCCACTGGGAGCTGCCTAAGCTCGGAGAGAGAACGGCGACATAAACGTGAGCTTTCGGAGGTCCGCGCGGATTTCTTGGATCGGCGCTGGTATGCGTGTTTTTTTGGTCCCCCTTCGCTGTCACGGTGCATTCTCCAAAGCACTGCTTTCAAATGCAACCGTTCTCTCGCTCGTGCCGTGCCTCGTCGGCCTCATCCCGATGCGTTTTAACATAGTCTTCGGCGTGTGGTGGCATTCACGTTTTGGCGCCAGCCGTGATATCTTGTTGCAGACCTTTTTTTAGGGTCTAGCTATCACCCGGGTTATCCAGCCCGCCCGCCCTCCCCCTCCACCCCAGGATAACCTGACCTTCAGTACTGGTGCGCGCTGGCATGTGTTGCGTGGGTCTGCCCAATGCGGACAGGTCAGGTTATCGGCTGGCACGTCTCCCTGCCCTCCCCCCCGCTGGATAACCCAGGCCGTCGCCAACAAATAAGCAAACCGATCCCTTGTCCGCTCCCATCTTTTCCGCCCCCAAATCAAAATGACCCCCCCCCCCCTACAGTCAAAGCGCATGGTAAGGATGAGCGACTTTCCAGGGTTACCCTTGCATCTTTCCCCGTCGGCTCGTCCTTGGGCACTTTTCGCTGGCCATGCCCCGCTCGAGAAAGGTCGACATGGCCTTCCAGGGCCCCTGCCTCCTCACCACGCATCCTTCTCACAGTTGGACCGAGGTACAAGATCGAGGTCGGTTCGGGCAGGGTGCCCTAATCTTGTGCATCCTAGGGGAGGGCACTCCTCGAATGTTCTCCAGTCTGGGCCAGCGGAGAGTCTTATTTTCTTGAGGGGTGTTCTTCTGTCTCGGGTCCGACTGTACTGCGCGCTGCCTGCGTGCGCTCGCGGCACGGCCCTCTGCCCCGTCGCCCCGCGCTCTCCCCCGTGCTCGGCAGGAGCGGCCGCCCCCCGCGCCGGAGCCCGATGTGGCGGGCGCGCCCCTCCCCGTCGTCTTCGCCGTCGCCTTCGCCGTCGCCGCCGCCGCCGTTGTCGTGGTCGTCGTCGTCGTCGTCGTCGTCGCCGTCGTCGTCGCCGTCGCCGCCGTCGCCGTCGCCGTCGCCGTCGCCGTCGCCGTCGGCGTCGGCGGCGGCGTCAGCGTCATGGACATCGTGGTCGTGGTTCGGAGGCGGGCCCAGGCCCAGGGGGGAAGTGCGAGGGGCAAAGCCTTCTCAGAAGGCGGCGGGGCTTCTGAGAAGCCCTCTGGCCTTCTCAGAAGCCGTCTCTGTCTTCGGAGGGCTTAGAACACTTCTCACTGAGAAGGCTCGCCCCCTCTGACTTCCCTTGGGCTCGCCGCCGAGTGGTCGTGGTGGTGGTGGTCGTCGTCGGCATGTTTGTTGTGGTTGTCGTCGTTAGCGTCGGAGGACGAGGAGGATGGAAGGAAGGATGCGGGAGGAGGGGAGGGAGGGAGGGAGGGAGGGAGGGAGGGATGGAGGGGAGGGAGAGAGGGAGGGAGGGTGGAGGAGGAGGAGTAGGTGGAAGACGAAGAAGAAAAATAATCCTGCGCGAGGATGGGTTCGGGAGCCCCTTCCCCTGTCGACGTGGGAACTCGGGGATGTGCTCGCGAAGATCGCGCGCGCGACCACCCATTGGGCTCTGGAGACAGGAGGGGCGCGAAGAGGGTGGGTTTGGAAAGCGAGGGGAAGGGGAGGAGAGGCAGGCAGTGGAGGCCCGCGAGGAGCAACAGCAGCAGCAGCAGCAGCGGCGGCGGCGGCTGCAGCACCAAAACGGGGTGAGGAGGAGGAAAAGGAGGACGCGGATGAGGAGGAGGAGGAGGAGGAGAGGAGGAGAGGAGGGGAGGAGAGGAGGAGGAGGAGGAGGAGGAGAAGGACGATATGGGCGAGGCCTACGAAGAGGAGTATGGGCAAGAAACAAGGCAGGACCAGGAAGACGAGGTGCCCGATCCGAAAAAACCGCACTCTCTTACCAAACCCCCTGGCAGACCCCCCACATGTTCCTTCTTCTCGCTCGCTCCTCCTCCTCCTCCTCCTCCTCCTCCTCCTCCTCGCTCCTCCCTCCTCACTCCTCGCTCTTCGCGCCTCCTCCTCCTCCTCCTCCTCCTCCTCCTCCCGGGAGCCTTTTTTAGCACCCTGGCGAATCCCAACACGTATTTAGTGCCGTTCAGTATTGTTTAGTGCGGTTTAGTGCGGCGCGTGTCTTCCTTCTCCCTCCGTTGCCCTTCCACTCCCAGCTCTTCCTCCGCTTCCCCCGTGGCGCCCCTTCGTCTTTCTCTCCTCTCCGGGCCCGTGCTGCCTGCGCGCGATTTCTAGCGACGTTCCCTCCCGCGTGATAGGTCGTTGCGTTGGGGCAGAGGATCTGCGGCCCCAATTCGCGCGCTCTCGAACTCCCCATGGGGGGCGGCTCGGGCTGGATACCTCGAGCACGATTTCTCCTGTTATGCCTGGGTGATCGGGCCCGCCCCGCCGCGGCGCCCAGGGCGCTTCATCGCTCTTCGCAGCAGAAGAGCTGCAGAGAAGTAGAACGGCGGCAGCGAGTGCTGCCGTTGCCAACGCTCGCCGGTCAGGCGGTGCCTCAATACTTTCTCTGACTTAGTTCTGCATCTCGTAGGCGTTCCCAGCGCGCGTGCGCGAAGCGTTGGGGGGCGCCCAGGCAGCGCTTCCATGCTTGCGCGCGCAGCGTCCAGGAACGCTCTAGGCAGTTCCTGGCAAACTTGCGCAAGAGCTTAGTCAACGCTTCCAAGCTCGCGTGCCCAGCGCGTGCGTCATTGCAGGAAGGCAAACTGAAGCTCGCTCGACAGCTTCTCCTGCGCGCCCCGACGCGCCATTTCAGACGCCCGCGCGCTGCGCGCCGCGCGCGGACTCCAAGCGCGCCCAGGGCGATTTGGGGGGCGCATGTGTCCGGGTGGTGTCTTGAAGTTTCCAGGGTGCAAGTCAGAAGGCGAACCGTTGGCCCAGCCTCAGAAGCGACGTTTGGTATCAGCCAAGGTGCCATGCATCGGCATGGAAGTGTTTGCAGCGGGCCTCGTGGGCTGTTAGCGCTCGCTTGCCACCTGGCCTGTCGCGCGTGGGCGGGCTTGCGCGCGCCCGGTGTCTTCGCCCTCGCCGCGCGCTGGCCAGGCGAGTGCCCGCCCCCAGTAAAAGGCCCAGCGGGCCTGGCCGAGGCGACCCCCGTCCGCCCGCAGGCCGCGAGGTCTTTTTCTCGGCTTGGTATCGGAGGGCACCAACTATACACCAACACCGATCCTGGCCCAGGATCACCCTGGGCCCAGGATCGGTGTATATGCCTTCTTGCGCAAGGCAGGAGGGCGTATTCACCGATCCTGGGCCCAGGGTGATCCTGGCCAGGATCGGTGTTGGTGTATAGTTGGTGCCTTCCTATGGTACAGCATTGCTGAACTCATGGCCATCGGAGCTGATCCCTGCAACAGAGGCGCAGAGGACCGCGCGCGCCGCGCGGCCCACCCCGAGATCCACCATGAGCTCGCGATAGAATTCGGGTCGTCGCAGTTGCCTGAGCCGCGCGCCTGGGGCGTCGAGAGTGCCAGCGTGAAGCAAAAGGAGTACGCGGCCCTTCTGCCGCACGAGTGGTCCAGCTGCCTCTGCCACCATTACCGCGAAGAGTTCGACTTGATATTCGCGGTAGACAAGCTGCCGAATTTCTGGGAGAACGCGTCCAGGGGGGCGTTTTTTTGTTTAAATTTGCGAAATGGCCCAAGGGCAAATGTCGCAACCCAGGGGTGGCATTGCGACCTGTTTCAAGGTTCCAAAAAGGGAACCTGAGTTCGGGGCTCCGTGGCCCCCCCTGCCCCCCCCCTGATCTCCGTCAGACCTTCGGTTGCGCGGGCAGCCAGTGTGGGCGTTGAATCGGAGCGCGAGGGCGAATTATATGATCCCTCCTCGGGCTCATGGGGATGGGGCTGAATTCCTGTCTCGGGACTCTCTGACCTCGGTGTCCGTGTCTGGCCCGGGCGCCGTGGGGAAGACGATTGCGCTCGCCTTGCGCTTGGCGCCCTTCCCTCTTAGCATCTGCGCCGAGGGGGCGCGTCGTGGGCGCGATCCCTGGCGGGAGATCTGAGAAGTATCGGCCTGGTCTTTAGCGCTTTAGCGGGGGGCACGCGCCCGACGGTAGATTAGGAAGGCTTCGCCTGGCCCATGAATGCCCCCCAAACTTCCCTGTCCCCGCTGATCTATTAATTAGAATGGCTTCGCCTGGTCCCCTCCCGAGCTCCCCCATCCTCCTTCCCCTTTCCCCATCTCCTTCGTCCCTGTTCGCCCCCTCTCGCCCCCGTTCCTCCCTTCTTTTCTCCCTCCCCAGGTGCCCCTCGACCTGTCTCTGCGTCTCCCCCGCTCCCTCTGGCCCAGCGGCTCGGCGTTCTGCAGGGCGGTATGCGGGCGCAGAATGGAGCGGGAACGGGGGGGGGGGGCGAGGGTTGGAGGGGGCGACGGGGCTAGAGGGGGGGTGAATCATTTTTTATATTAAAAAACATAAGTTTTTTTCCTGTTCTGTTTTTCTTCGTCGTAAGCTGGTTTGTCATATTCGCGAATTTGATTGGCGTGCTTGAAATGTGGAGTGAAGTTTTTTTTTTTTTGCCTGCCCCCCGTCGTCGTGGGCGTCGTCGCCCTCGGCCGTCGGCGCGGGTCTCGCGGCCGGGGGCGCCTCCAGGGGGGGTCGGCGGACTGGAACAGCGAGGCTGTCGATTCGGACAGGGCAGCTCCTGCCGGGCAATTCTCACGTGATCGGGAGAACCCATGCAGGGCTTTTATACATTCCGTTTTTTTGAGACCTCGAGTACTTCTCCTCCCCGGGGACCCCCTGCCCCGGGGGCGCTCACTTTTGTTGGCTTTGCATTGCAAGCAAAACTGTCAACCCCCCTGGGGCGATTTCGCGAACCCAACTGGGGGCGCAAACCATTGGCCCCTGCATGAACGCGGTTCCGTATCCACCCACCCCTTCAGTGTATATGACGTGACCATCGTGTGTTTCGCCGTAGATCTTCTGCGCGCTGTTGATTTAGGTTTTGCTGGATTCGCCGTTGCCAATCTTCTTTACGAAGTGATTTACGAAGAGATGGGCGGCCGCATTTGTGACAGAGTGTTCACGGTGTGGGTTCGCATTCAGGATGTGTATCGCGAGCTGGACTTGTCCCGTAGGCTTGCGAACTTTCGGCTTTCCATGATCGCGAAAGATCCGGGCTCTCCGCGCGCAGATTTCCATTCCTTTCGCTGGGAACTTAGGCGGCCCAGGCCGGGGGCATTGCGCGCGCGCGCCTGGTCCTTTCGATGGAATTCTTTACGCTTCGCGTATCCCTACCAGCCCATCTCACAACAGCAACTCATGCGAAGCATGCCGACAGTCGTGTTTTTCAGGCGTGTGTCCGTTTGGCCCCGCATATCTCCCCTGTTCCTCCTTCCTCCCGCCTCCTTGTACATCCTCCTTGTGGGGTGAGCGGGAGAAGGACGAGGCGGAGGAGGAGGGAGAGAAAGCGCTCCTCGTGGTTTGAGTCGTTTGGGGGTTTTCGTCCTGGTGTGAGTCGTTCGGGCCCTTCTTCCTGGTGTGAGTCGTTCGGGCTCTTCGTGGTCTGAGTCGTTCGGGCTCTTCGTCCTGGTGTGAGTCGTTCGGGCTTCTCGTGGTGTGAGTTGTTCGGGCCCCTCATCCTGTGTGAGTCGTTCGGGCCCCTCCTCCTGGTGTAACTCGTTCGGGCTCCTCGTGGTGTGAGTCGTTCGGGGCCCGCGTCGTGGTGTGCTCTTTTTGGACCCCCCTCCTGGTTGAGTCGGGCCCGGGCGCCTCCACGCGCCTAGAGTCTTCACGGGGTCGGGGGAATCTCCTTGTGGTGTGAGTCGTTCGGGCTCTTCGTGGTGTGAGTCGTTCGGGCCCCTCGTCCTGGTGTGAGTCGTTCGGGCTCCTCTTGGGGGCCTCTTGGGGGCCTCTTGGGGCCTCTTGGGGGCCTCTTGGGGAGCTCTTGGCGGCCTCTTGGGAGCCTCTTGGGGGCTCTGGGGGCCTCGTGGGGGCCTCTGGGGAGCCTGTTGGGAGCCTCTGGGGGCCTCTTGGGGGCCTCTTGGGGGCCTCTTGGAGGCCTCTTGGGAGCCTCCTGAGGGCATCTTGGGGCCTCCTGGGGGGCTCTTGCGACCTCTTCAGAAGCGCAAGTGAGCGCTACCCCCTGAGAAAGACAAAATGAGCCCAAAACCTTAGTAAAATCAATGATTTTGAGAAGACGGAAGAGGAGCGCGGCCCCTCAGAAGGCCAAAATGGGGCCGAAACCGTAGTAACATCAATGATTTTGGCTTCACAGCAGAGGAGAGGTTTTTTTTTTTCTGGATCCCCCCGTCGGGGCCAGAATCCTCGTGAGGGTCGTCGTTTTTTTGCCCTCCCAGGATTCGAAAAAGACCCCTCCAACCACCCGCGGCCCGCCCTCTCCAGGCCCAGGGGGAGGGGGTAGGGGGAGGGGTAAACCCCTCCCCGAAGGGGAAGAAGGGGGGTTGGGGGGTTGAGGACAGAGAGAGCTCTCTAAACCACTCACGCCCGAAGGGCTGGTGGGATTCCAGGACGCGGCGCCTGCCGATGAGAAGGTGCGCCTCCGATCTCGCGCGCCGATGTTCAAGCGTCTGGCGCGCTGCTGCGACGTGCTGTCCCACGGGGGCCAGTTCCTTACTGGGCTTGAGTGTCGGGGCGTTGTTTCTGCTGTGGGTGGTTTTCTGGTTGTCTGCGAATCGCTGCGTCTTGCTGCGTCGCGGGTGCCCGTTACATGCAAGTGCGGTCTCGTGAGCAAGCGTGTTTTCCACCTTCCCTGACATATTCCACGGAACCCCAGGTGGATTTGGTGCTACCAGCCCGAAGACTGGCAGAGGTTCATTAGCAAATGTGGCGCGGGCTGCGCTGTCGCATCGAGCATCTACCTTGTCCCGCAAAGCTGTGCGAACGCGTGCGAATGGGTCGGGCTTCTCGGGGTTCGCGTCGCCCCTGCTTCTCGAACATCTGGGGATGAGACATGGTGGGGGTGAGGGTGGAGGAAGGCGAGGGAAAGGACGGAGCGGCGGGCGCGTGGAGAGGGCCAGGGAAGGGGAAGGGCAGATGACACTAACGCGGACAGTTCCTGGCCGGGGGGGGCCCGAAAGGACAGCGGCCCTGCAGCGTGTTCGCGGCGTCGTGAAGTGACGCGCTTGGCCCAGGCTTGCGCGTTCGAGAAGACGTGGTCAAATCTCGAGCTCCCCCCCGCCCCCGCCCAACGCTTGACGTCCTCCGTCATTTCTCCCAGCCAACTTGGCAGATGAAATCATCCTTCCTCCTTCCCGCCCCCCCTCCCTCCCTCCCCCCCCTCCTTCCCTCCCCGCTTATCCCCCGACCTTTTTTCTATTCTCCCTCCTCCTTCTCCTCGTTTATCTCCTTCTCCCCCCCCCTCCGCCCCCGTGGATCTCGACTCGAACGCGTAGTCCTGGGCTTAGAGCGCTGGCGCGCTTCCGGCTGCCTGGCCCGCCGCCCGCTCTGAAGGCAGGAGAGGGCAATTAGGAAGAATGATCGGGAGATGGGCGTGGGATTTCTCTGAGCAGAAATGGCGTTTGCGACGACGTGAACGGCGTTTACGATTTGTTCTGACCGAAAATAAAGCGGGCATCGCGCCGAGAAGCTGACGCCGCGTTCGAGGATGGAGGGGGGTTTGAAACTTGAGGAGGGGGGGGAGGGGAATAGGGGGGTGGGCGGGGGGGGGGCGGGGCAATCGGGAAATGAGTGCGAGTGCGGAGGATGGATGGCGAGCTCTTGAGATGGCCAGGTGGATCGGTGCATGGATGGGGCCCGAGGGCTCAATTTGGCACGAGGGATGGGTGGCGGCGCCGAGGAGCGGCGCCGTGAGGTGCATCGGTGAAGCAGCTCGCGTGGACCTGTTTTCGCCCCAGCTGCCGCTGAGCACTTTTGGGCAGGGCCGCGTAGGCGGGGGGCGCTGCCCCGCGCCCCCCGCGCGGGCCTCGGCTTTTGCGTTGCCGCAGGGCGGCGTGCGCAGGCGGGCCCAGCTCGCAGTATTTGGCAGCTGGCGGCTGGGCCCTCAGCCATGACCTGCCGCTTGGCTTGCGCATTCCTTTTTTTGTTCTTGCAGACGCATGCGCGCGGGGCCGACCCGGCGGCGTCCTGGGCCGACGCCGCGACGCTGGTTTCGGCGGGCCCAAACCTTACCATGATCATACTTATTTTAGAGTTCCCAGACATAAATCAGACTTGGGCCTTCGGGCCAGAGTTAAATCAGCGTTCCAGTCAGACCTAAACCGGACTTGGCGCTGAGGGCCAGAATCGAGTCAGAGTTCCAGCGCAGACATGAATCAGATCTTCAGAGTTTTGGGCCTGGACAGAGAAACAGATATTGCCCCCAAAAGGCACGCTCAAAGCTTGAGTTGTCCGAATGTTTGTGCCGCGTCGGGCCGCGCAGTTTCACTTGAGAGCGATGGCGCGGCGGTGGCCTGCGGCGGGGGCGCAGGAGGCCGGCGCGACCTTCCCGCGCGCGTCGCGGAAATGACCCGCGCCCGCGTCGCCGTCGGCGGCCGCGCGGCGCCGTTTAGGGACAGGCGGGGGCGAGGGTGCGGCCGCCCTCCGCGTAGACAGTTTATATGAGTAGCGCGGGATTCCTGCGCTCGGCGTGGGTCTGGGCCGCGTGGATTTGCTGCTGAATGGTTCCGCGCAGCCATGTTCAGGGGCCATGGCGCGGCGACGGCGCGCGGTGGCGCCGAATCTACGGGCCGGTCGCTGGGCTGGCCCGCCTCGCGCGTTGCCGCCGTTGCTCTTGCGAGCGTCGCTCGTTTCGCGGCGATGTCGCGCGCTCTGCGGCCCTCGACGTTGCGGGGCGCTTCGGGGGCAGGGTGGGGAAGTTGCTATCCTCGCGGGCGTCTGCGGCCAGATGGTGACTTGCCATCGTTCCCGCGCGTTGGGCCCGGGGCCCAGCCGCGTCGGCGCGACCCCGCCGGGGCGTCAGCTGCCGCGCGGCGTCTCGGCGGGAGGGGCCAGCCGGGCGGCGGTGGCGGCGTGGCGGGGGCGGGGCAGGGGGGCCAATTTCCGGTGGCGCCGGCGACGATCGTTTGGGCACCATGCGTGGGCCAGCGATGATGCGGGCCAGCGTCGGGCGCGCCTCGAAATTCGCGCGCTGCCGCAACGTGAACCGCCTATGCGTGGACCGCGCGTCGGGCTCAGCAACACTAGATCGCACTGATCAGCATTAAACAGCACACGGAAAACCACAAGTTCTAAACTTGGCTCCCATAGTTTGCCAGCCTCCTCCATCCTCGCTCCTCCTCCTCGTTTCTCGCCCCTTCTCCTCCTCCTCCTCTTCCTCCTCCTCCTCCTCCTCCTCCTTCTCCTCCTCCTCTTCCTCCGCCTCCTCCTCCTCCTCCTCCTCCCTCCCCGCCCCTCCTCGCTTCTCACCCCTCTTCCTCCTCCTTTCTCCTCTCTTCCTTCTCCAACGTCTCCTCCTCTATCGCCTCCCCTCCTCCTCCTCCTCCTCCTCCTCCCTCCTCCTCCTCCTCCTCCTCCTCCGCCCCTCCTCCTCCTCTCCTTTTTCCTTCGCCCTCTTCCTCCTCGCTCCTCCTCCTCCTCTCCTCTCCTCCTCCTCCTCCCTCCTCCTCCTCCTCCTCTCTTCCTCCTCCTCCTCCTCCCCCTCCCTCCTCCTCGCTCGCTCCTCCTCCTCCTCCTACTCCTCCTCTCCTCTTACCTACTCCTCCTCCTCTTTTCCTTTTCCTTCGCCTCTTCTCCTCGCTCCTCTCTCCTCCTCCTCCTCCTCCTCCTCCTCCCTCCTCCTCGCTCTTCGCTCCTCGCCCCTCGTTCCTCGCTCCCCCTCCGTCTTCCATTATCCCTCCTCCCCCCTCCCTCCTCCTCCTTCCTCCTCTCTCTTTTCCCTCCTCCCCCTCCTGCCTCCTCCCTTCTTCCATTTTCTTCCTTCCCCTTGTCCCCCTTGCCTCCTCCACACCGTCCTCCTCCCTGCTCTTCCTCCTCCTCCCTCCTCCCTCCTCCCCCTTCTTCCTCCCCCCCCCTCCCCCCTCCTCCCTCCTCCCTCCTCCCTCCTCCCTCTTCCCTTCCCTCCTTGGCTCCTCCCTCCCTCCTCCTCCCCGGCTTCCCCCCCTCCTCCTCCTCTTCCTCCTCAAGCCGGGGGCGGCTGAGAGAGGGGGTGAGGACCAGGGGGGAGGTGGAGATCATGGCCGGGGCCATGATGTCTCTCGTGAGTTCATGGCCCCCTCTCCTTGTGTCAGTGCCCTGACTTGACCCCCTCCCCTTGGGTCGCGCGCGTGCCTCGGGCCTCGATGAACCCCCCCTTTTGGCCGCCCCCTCTTGGGCGCCCCCGAGCACTCCAGGCCTCCTTCATGGGGTGCGAGCTGATGGGGTCGGAGGATCGCGCCGCGTCGCCGATGCATCGGCGATGCGGCTCGACGTGAGGCCCGATTTTCTCCACGCCGACGGAGCCGACGCGTCGCCGACGTTGCCGATGCATCGCCGATGCATCGCCCATGCATTGGCGATGCGGCGCGATCCTCCGACCCCATCTGTCCCGACCCCATCTGGGAGGTCTCTGGCTAGAGCGTGCATGTTGTCGACGAATATGATTTCTCGGCGCTGGACACCCTTCCTTGGCGTGGGGAACCCTCCAGGGGTGGTGTTGGAGGCGCCGTCAGGGAGGCCCAGTCCGCTCCGCGCCCGAGGCCCTCTGTCGGCACCGGCCGCATCGGCGACGTCGTCCACGCACAGGGAGGACGTGGTCTCCACGCACACGGTGGACGAGGAGGCGGGGCGTCTTGACCCAGCCAGTCCATGCGTTTCGTGTTTTTCGGTGTTGTTTTGTTGTTTTCTTCTTTCTTTTTCTCGAATACTATAAACACGAATCCTACTACGAATACCACTAGTAATGATACTAGCAGCGATAATCAACAGTGGATCATACCAATAGGAACAACCGTAAGAGCACGACTCATACGATTACTAGTCATATCAATAATAATCGTAGTATGACTAATCTTAACCATAATAAGGAACATACGAAGACGAACACTAATATAACTAAGGGAGCACACAACAATAAGAATAACACTATTACCGAGAATAACAGCATCACGGAACGTACGACTACGAAACACATGTGTGATAACTCTGTTGCAGCGCATGCATATACTTTCGGGCTTCCGATCCTCCGAACGTTTGTGTTCGTGCCGGTTTTTTCCTGTGATCTCCCCCCTCGCCTTTGCTGCAAAACCCCTCCCCCTCTCTCGGCCCTCTCTCCATGGCTCCTCCCGAGAGACGGCGGGGAGGTCGGAGGGGGGTGGCCGTGTGAGATGCGAGTGCGTCGTTCGTTGTAGCGCGTGCCATCGCAACCCGCGCACTGAGGCTATTGCCCTCTTGGGCATAAGATGGCACGCGAGGTCCAATATTCCAGGCCGCCCAAGTGGGGGCCAGAGCAGAGTGGGGTCGGAGGATCGCGCCGCATCGCCTCCTGACTCGCCCAGTGGCCTTTTCGATTGGATCCCCCCGCGGAGATCCTCCTCCCCCTCCAGCCGGTGCTCGCCGCGCTGGAATGAAACACCCGTCGGAGGTTGGAGGGTTTTCTGAGCGGAGAGGTCCCGAACCCCTCGGAAGTCGACTTCGGGTCGGGTTTCGTGCCGCACGTGTTGGCGAGGCGAAGCTGCGCGAGGGCAACAATGTGCTGGCCAAGGCCCTGGCCAGGTCCAGTAAGATGATTCGTCCTCCCATCTCGCGGTGCCGCGGTGTCCCGTGGGTCAAGCAGTGGCGAAGCGTCCTGGCGTGCCTTTCGGCCTACCAAACAATGTTCTTAGAACCTTTTGTGGTTTCCACGAAATGTTCTTTGAACATTTCAGGCTGGGACCGTCTTGTTTTTAACATATCGGGTGTTTTCTAAGAACATTGTTTTGTCACTAAAGCGTTTTTGGGTTCTAAGGAAGTTCGTTGTAGGCCTCTAGGAATGCTGGGACGGTCGGTCCCTGCTCAAGTGGGTGTCCCGTGGGTTGTGCCGCGCCTGTCCCGCGGGTTGTCCCGTGATCGTCCCGCGGCTTGTCCTGTTGCTGTTCCGTGGATTGTCGCGTGGGTTGTCTCGAGGTTGTTCCGTGTATTGTCGCATGGTTTGTCCCGCGGTTTTTCTGTTGGTGTTCCCGTGGTTTGTTCCGTGAGTTGTCCCATGGATGTCCCGTTCGTTGTCCCATGTTGTCCCGTGAGTTGCCCGCAGATGTTGTCCCATGTTGTCCCATGTTGTCCCATGGATGTCCCGTGGTCGTTGGATTCCCTGTGGGTTGCTTCGTGGTTGTCCTGTTGTTTTCCCGGGGTTGTACCACGGTTGTCCCGTGGATTGTCCCGTGGTTGTCCTGCCGGTTTCCCGTGGATTTTCTCGTCGCAATCCAGTCGGTTGTTTTGTGAGGTTTTGCAAATTGAGATGCACATGCAATTACAAACGACATGTACATCGAAATGCAATGCGCGTCTAAATGCGCAGCGAGTGGGCGTGGTATGGTTGGTCGTTGGCGTGGTGGTCGTTGGCGGCGCACAGAGTGGAGACGGGTCCCTCTCTTCGCCCCCCCCGATTGACCCCATATACCCTGCGGGTGTGGTGTGGTTGCTGCCCCCCGAGGATTCCCTGCCATCCTGGGACCCGTCCCATCTTGGGGGTTAGGGGGGCCGTGGGAACCTTCGACCCTGGCTCATATGTATGCTTACACTGGTGCACACCTGAATTTGGTTGCACATCCTTCTCCGCCGCCCGAGCCCCGAATCGTGCTGGCTCCGAAACCCAAGGGACGGAGCTGATCTCGGACCTGGCTGAACTCGGACCCGGCTGCTCTTGGAGCCGCTGATCTTGGACCTGCTGGTATCGGACCGGGCTGAATTCGGACTTGAACTCGGACCTAGCTGAACTCGGACCCGACTGAACTCGGACCCGGCTGAACTCGGACCCGGCTGCACTCGAACCCGGCTGAACTCGGACCCAGCTGTTCCAGCTGCGGCGTGAAGCTTTCGCCGAGTGCATTGCGCGGGGATGGGGCTGATCTCGGACCCGGGTGAACTCGGACCAGGCTGAACTGGGACCGGGCTGATCTCGGATTTGGGTGTTCCGTCTTCGGCGCGAGCCTCCTGTCGCGTGCGCCGCAGGGGAAGGGGCTGATTTCTGACGCGGCTGAATTTGCATCGGGTTGATCTCCGACTAGGTTTTACTCGGACCGGCTGAGATCGGATCTCTTGAGTTTGGAGTCCATTGAACTCGGTTTCGGCTGATCTCTGACTTTGTTGCACCCAGACCTGAACTCGGACCTGGCTGATCTCGGACCCAGCTGAAGTCGGACTCGCGGCCGTTCCCGCTGCGGCGCGACCTTCTCGTCGACGGCTAAGTTCAGACCTGGCTGATCTCGGACCCCGAAACTCGGACCCGGCTGAACTCGGACCCGGCTGATTTCGGACCCGCTGAACTCGAACCGACTGGTCTCGGACCAGGCGGAATTTCTGAACTCGAACCCAGCTGAACTCGGACCCGGCCGATCTCGGACCCGGCTGATCTCGGACCCGGCGGACGTCGGGCCCCGCTGGACTCGGACCCGGGCGCTCCCGCTGCAGCGCGGGCCTCGGTCTGACTCTAGCTGGGTCCGAGATCAGCTGGGTCCGAGATCAGCTGGGTCCGAGATCAGCTGGGTCCGAGATCAGCTGGGTACTCCAGATTTCGTAATAAAAGGGAGGGGGTCTGGACCCTCCAAGACGAGCCATTTCAGACCTCCCCCGTGGGAGAACCCTCCAAAACATCGTCCCCAGACCCCCTCAGGCCCTCCAAGATAGTCTGGAAGAGACCCCCCCCGAAATGAGACCCCCCTCCCTTTATTACGAAATCTGAAGTACGAGTTCGGCTGGGTCTGAGTTTTCTGGGTCCGGGTTCTGGGTTCGAGTTTCGCCGGGGTCCGAGTTGAGTTGGGTCCGAGTTCAGCCCGGGTCCGAGTTCAGCTGGGTCCGAGTTCAGCTGGTGCTCTTGGAGACTCGTTCCAAAGCCATCCTGGACTACCTCCCAAGAGCGCCTTGCGTTGTCACTAAAAGCGCTGCATCATATACCGCAAGCAACTTTGATTGAAACACAGCTTACTGCTTTCGCATTGATCTTTATTCTCGGGCCTGGCCGGTCCCGTGGCTTACCCACACACGCGAGCGAACTCTAGCCTTTGCATATCGACAGGAGCCATATGGCAACACGGGCCTTGTGCTTTGCGGTGTTGTTTGCCTACAGCATGCAGACTGCGACATCCATGCATATCCATTCGACTGCGTACAATCCTGACCCATTCGTGAATCCCGGGGTTGTGAGCCTCGATGGGATTATAGTCTTTAGCATCTTCTTGGCTTCTGACGCTTTGTACGCTTCATGGATGCGCTTGTGCAGCGCGAGCGAGGTGTCATGGGGTGGGTGCGTGGAGCAAGGTGCGCCGAGGCGCCCCAGCGATCTGGGAGGTGCTCTCGGGAATGGGCGGCGAGGCAAGCCGTGCAGATGCCATCGGCGCATTACGGTCCGACTGGATACTCGGCCCGTTGGCTAGGACAAAACGTGGCTCAGTGGGAAGGGGGAATGGACGGACGTCAGATGTGGCGCGAACGCGCTTAGCTTTTCCCTCGCCATCTCCTCATTGCCTCCTCCGCGGGTTCGGCGTGGGTGACAGCGTTGGGCAATTCTTTCCGCGCCTTTCACTTCCTCTCCTGGTGGGGGCCGCGGGTGCGGACGTCATGATACGTGGTCAATTGTGGCATCGTCTTCCTGCGTCGCCAGAGGAGGCGGCGGAGGCGGAGGAGGAGGAGGCGGAGGAGGAGGAGGAGGAGAGTAAGGATGAGGGATGTGAAGATGATGAGAGGAGGAGGAGGAGGAAGGAGGAGGAGGAGGAGGAGGAGGAGGAAAAGGAGGAGGAGGAGCGGAGGAGGGGGAGGAGAGGGAAGGCAGGCGGAGGAGGAGGATGATGAGAGGATGAAGATTAGGAGAGGAGAGAAGAAGGAGGAAAAGGAGGATGAGAGGACAAGATGGAGGATGAGGAGGAGGAATGGGAGGAGGAGGAGGAGGAGGAGAAGGAGGAGGAGGGCGAGGTAGGAGGAGAGGAGGGAGGAGAGGGAGAGGGAGGGGAGTAGGAGAGGAGGACGGAGGAGGTGGGGTGTGGGATCCGCGGCCTCACCACAAGGCACTATGGTGTCACCACCTCCAAGTCGAGGCTCCAAATGCAACCTACCATACACTTTATTATCCTTCCAAAATACCGCCGGCGGTGACGTCGGTCGCGCGGGCGCTTGCATGCCATCTCCCGCGCGGGCCGGTCCGAGTTCAAGCCGACGGCTGAACTCGGACCCAGCTGAACTCGGACCCGGAAACTCGGACCCAGCTGAATTCGGACCCGGCTGATCTCGGACCCGCTGAATTCGGACCCGGCTGATCTCGGACCCGGCTGAATTCGATTCCGGTTGAATTTGGACCTGGCTGATCTCGGACCCGGCTGAACTCGGACCCGGCTGATCTCGGACCCAGGCGTTCCCGCTGCAGCGCGGGCGTCGGTCTGAGTTCAGCCGGGCCCGAGTTTAGGTGGGTCCGAGTTCAGTTGGGTCCGAGTTCAGTTGGGTCCGAGTTCAGCTGGGTCCGAGATCAGCTGGGCTCGAGTTCAGCTGGGTCCGAGTTTTCTGGGTCTGGGTTCTGGGATCGAGTTCAGCCTGGGTCCGAGTTCAACTGGGTCCGAGTTCAGCTGGGTCCGAGTTCAGCCCGGGTCCGAGTTCAGCTGGGTCCGAGTTCAGCTGGGTCCGAGTTCAGCTGGTGTCCAAGGTTCCAGTTTATTCGAGCACGGTCCTTCTTTTACGCTAGACGCTACGCGCGAGCACGGGCCTTGGGGCCTGATGTTTCTTCCCCACCCAGGGGCCCCAGAGCACATCCAGGGCACCCTCCCCTCCCAGAGCTTCTCCAGAGCCTCCTGCGGGCTCCTTCAGGAGGCCCCAGGAGGACCCAATCGCCTCGCCTCCATGTCATAAGAGGGGCCCCGCCCGACAAGTTTTTGGAGAAGAGACATTGGGCCCAGGATTCTCTAAGATGATTCCAAGAAGGTCCGAAAGTGAGAACCGCCACTCGCGAAAGACTGACAAAATCGAGTGCTCTCGTCGGGTGTTCGGTCTGTTTGTGATTCCGCGCTGTATTCGCTCGATGTGGCATTGCGAGAGCCTTGGTGAGACCATGCAGAGCCCGAGGAGGTTCCGAACTGTGTCCCAAGATGGCCCATGTTTCCCCCCCGTCCATCCCCGGTAGTCCTTCCCTCCGAGATGGGTCCCGAGAAGCCCCGGAGCCGATCAGACTGGCCCGGTAGGGCCGCCCTCGATGCGGATCCGATGCGGATCGATTCGCCAGCTGGGGCCGCGGCTCCGATTCGATCCGCTTCGGTCCAATCCACCGACAGTGTCCCGGGCTGGCTGGAGCCCAGCGCGGCGGACCCGGATCGTTCAGGCCCGGTTCACTGGCCTCGTCCGTATTTTGGTCTGCTTGCGATCCGATCCGCTTCTGGCCCGATCCGATCTATCGCGGTCCGACTTCCGGCTCCGTGCCCTGCCGCGTGCACCTTGCCAGTCCTTGGCGGCCCGGTTCGGAGCGGTCAGGCTGGCGATCCGATCTGCCGTCGAGCCCCGAGGGCTGTGTCGCGGTCAGGGCCCATCTCGATCCGATGGATCCGATTCGATACCGATCTCCGCCTGGCTCGATCCAATTCGATTCTGATTCTTTGGGCGATCCGACACGGCCCGATGCTTGCATGGCTTGACCGTGCATCCTGGCGCGGCCGACCCGATCCGATCTCGATTCCATGGCGACGCAGCCCGACCCGATGCAAGCTCCGACCTGATCCTATGTAGTGGTTCGGTACCGACTGCTCGTGCGCGGTCCGATCTGCGGCTCTGCGCCCTGCCGGGCCGCCCTGCCATGCCAGTCCTTGGGCCGGCAGCGAGATCCGATTCCTACCCTCGCCGATCAAAAGTCCAGGCAGCTCGATGGGCGGCGGGGGTTGGGGTCGGAATCAGCCGAACACGTTGCGAAATCCGAACCTTACCCGCGCCTCCCATCGATCCAGGAGAATCGATGGCTGGTGGGGGTAGTTGTGTAGTCCTTCATAGCCGCCCCAGAAGGGCCCACAATTCCTTGCGTTTTTTTGTGGTTTCGTCTGGGTTTCGTCGGATTTGGTCGACATGTGGGCAACATCTGGACGAACTCTGAACGAACTCTCGATGAAAGGTTGAAGAGGGGTGGCCGAAGTCTGGACGCAAGCCAGTAGAAATCACGTCCATGCTAGGGCCGCGGTGGTCCACTGATGTTCCCATGAAGGACCATCCGAAGGTTGGGCTCGGATGTCACCACTTATTGTCGGCGCCGCGTCCAGGGGGAAATGAGAAGAGCAGGCCTTCGCAGAAGGCGGCAGGGCTTCTCAGAAGCACCGTTTTTTGTGTTTCGTCTGGATTCGTCGGATTTGGTCGACATTTGGACGAATTTGGACGACATCTGAACGACATCTCGACGGAAGGATGCAGAGGCCGAAGGAACAGGCCTTCTCAGAAGCCGGCGGGGCTTCTCAGAAGCCCCGCGGCTTTCTGAGAAGATCCTGGTCTGTTTTCAGGGAAGGCTGAGAAACTCCCGTCAGGAGGCCCGAGGCCTTTCGAAGGCCTTCTTTGAAGGCCTGCCCCTCCTCACTCCCTCCCCCGGGGCGCGCCGCCAGTATAGGCGGGAATCGTGCAGAATGGAATTGGATTGTGCTCGATTGGGCTGGCTTTCGACCACGGATACGGTCGGACCGAGTTCGACCACAGATGTAGCAGCGCAGATGCTGAATTCTCAGGGGTGACCTGGCCTGGCCAGGGGTGATTCATCGGGGGTTGCTAAAGGTACCCCTGGCCCAAGGTGCCCCCAGCTTTTCGCTCAATTTTGGGGCCCCTGGGGCCCTGGGCCTCGTGAGGGGTGCTCTGGAGGCCGTTGGGGCCTCCCTGCAAATCCCCTGGGGGCACCTTGGGCCAGGGGTACTTTTGGCAACACCCGAACTCAGGGCCCGTTGAATAAGGACTCTGACGATCCAGGACGCTGGCGTGCCCTGGGCTCGCCGCCGACAGTGTCGGCCACGCGCAGAAGGGGGGCAGGGGGATGGGGGAAGGCCTCTTGGAAGCACCCCTGCATGCTTCTCAGAGGCGGGCCCTCTCCACAGATGTAAGGCCGGCGCCCTTTGAGAAGCAGCATCCTTGTAAGAAGCCTTCCCCCCCCCACCCCCCAGTGTGCGCGCCGCCTGAAGTCCACCGCCAGAACATGTCCACATCCACTGCCGCGGGGCCGTGCCATGGGATCTCGAGGAGCGGTGGATATGGGCATCTGCCCGCCCACCTGGGCGGGGCACAGATATCCACATCCACCGCTCCTCCCGTTCCCAGGACACGGCCCCGCGGCAGTGGATGTGGACATGTCCTGGCGGCGCTTACCAGCCTGGAACATATCCCTATCCCTATGCTGGGCATCGCCTCATCTCGATGCCAATCTTAGGGATTCCCTCATTTTTTGAGGGCGCATCCCTAAGATTGTCCTCGCTTCTTGCTCGCCCATCTTAGGGATAGGGATACGTTCGAGGCTGGTTAAGTGGACGTGGACATGTCCTGGCGGCGCCTAAAGGACTCTGACGATGCAGGACGCTGGCTGGCGCCGTGGGCCCGCCGCCGACGCCCGGGCCCGCCCGCGCACGACGCCCCAGGGCGCTCGGCCTCGGCCGCGGCTCCCCCGCGGCGCGGAGAGGTGTCCGACCCCAACGCGGCGAGGGCGGACGCCCTGGACGCCCTGGCCCCCTCGAGGCCCTGCGGGCGGCGCGCCTGCGGGCGTGCGCGCGCGGCTCGGCTCCGGGCCGTTGTCGCTCTCCTCCCTCCCTCCCTCCTCTTCCCTCCTCCTCCCGCCTCCCGCCTCCTCTCCCCCCCTCCTCCGAGCTCCCTCCTCTTCTTCCCTTCCCTCCTCTTCCGATCCTCCTCCTCCTCCTCCTCCTCCTCTCCTCCCCTCCCCTCCTCCTCCTCCTCCTCCCTCCTCCTCCTCCTCCTCCTCCTCCTCGCTCCTCCTCCTCCTCCCTCCCCTCCTCTCCTCCTCCTCCTCTCCTCGTCTTCTCGTTTTCCTCGCTCCTTCCTCCTCCTCGCCTCCTCCTCCTCCTATCCTCCGTCGTCGTCGGGGTCCACTCCTCCTCCTTCGCTCTCCTCCCTCCTCCCTCCTTACCTATCTCCTCCCCCTCCCTCCTCCTCCCCCCTCCTGCCTCCTCCCCTCCTCCGCCTCTCTCCAATCCTGTCCTCCTCTCACTCCCCTCGCCTATCTCTCTTCTCCCGCTCCGCCCCTCCTCCCTCCCCCTCGTCCTCCTCCTGCTCCTCCTCCTCCTCCTCCTCCTCCTCCTCCCTTTCCTCCTCTCCTCCTAATCGGACGTCGTCCTGGGACTCTTGCTCTTACTCTTACTCCTCCTCTTCTCCTCCCCTGAGGTCTGGGGGGTGCATTTTTTCACTGGGCATTTTTGCCTTGTTTCGGGCCCTCGGACCATCACAGGGCGATCTGGCTCGAATAATGCCGCAGCAGGATGGGGTCTAAGGCTCCGGTCGTGTTTTTTCGCGGTGCTTTATTTTTTCCCGACGTCGGATCTCAGGGTCCTCCTCCTTCGCCTCCTCCCCCTCCCAGGCTGCTGTTTGGGGGCATCGAGATCTGCCGCCCAGCCGTAAGGATTGCAGCATCGTGTCCGAGGTAGTTTTGCGCCCCATACCCGCAGGCTTCGGGGGGCAAGGGGACTGGGGGGCCCGCCCCTCGCACTGTGCCGCATTCCTGATAGTGCGGCTTTGGGAGGCTCTGGTTGCAGACGCAGTGAGAGGACACGTCGGAGCCATGCAAGAAAAGTGCAGCAGGCCAAACTGGATATCACGAAGAATTTACCAGTAGAGCCCCATCTCACTTCGCAGACACTTGAAACAATGGGAGAGGCTGCCGCAGGTTCGAAGAACGCGCCTCCTACCCGTGGGGCACCATACGTGCACACTCCTTGAGTTGGTGCGCCGATTTTGCACATATTGGAAACACATCCAATGAAAGAGGCTTCGAAGAAGACTTTGGACGAGATGGAGGAGACCAGTACAAACACACCCCTACGTGGAACTCTTATCGTTGGCAAGCATGCAGTTGACTTCTTGCGCGCCAAGCAACACAACGATGTTATAAATACGAACCCTGGTGATTCGATCATCGAGTTGCAAACTTTTCTCAGCCAGGAATATGCGAATCGATAATCAGTTTCTAGCTGGTGGTGGGGACTGGTGAGGGGACAGCGGGACAGTGGTGGGACAGAGGGGCATTGGTAGGGACCGTAGTGGTGGGGACAGTGGTGAAGGCGGTGGTGAGGACAATGGTGGGACAGTGGTACAGTGGGGAGAGTGGTGGGGACAGTGGGGACAGTGGGACAGTGGTGTGGACAGTGGGGACGGTGGGACAGCACAGTGGGGCAGCGGCGGGGACAGTGGGACAGTGGTGGGTGCAGTGGGGACTGGGACAGTGGTGGGGATCGTGGGGAAAGTGGGGAGAGTGGGACCATGGTGGGACCATGGTGGGACAATGGTGGGACGATGGTGGGACAATGCTTTGCAACCAAAGTGCGCTGCGCTAGTGCGAGAACTACATGTTGAAAGCAACCCGCCCTCAATACGTGAAACTGTTGCAGATCTTTAAAGCGAATGTGCGCTGCGCGAAAGCGAGAGCCATTTTTTGAACACGACCCGCCCTGTATTCGCTAAGCTGTTGCCATCTTTTAAGCATCAGGATCGTACGTGGTGAGGAAATCTCAGGCGAAGCGCCTGGCCCGCCCTCTCGACTGGCCTCGGGGTGCGACAGGGAGGAGTTATTTATATGGAAAAGGAATGTAGGAGCAGGAGGAGGCGGAGGAGGCGGAGGAGGAGGAGCAGGATGAGCAGGATGAGGAGGAGGAGGACGTGGAGGAGGAGGGGGAGGAGGAGGCGCAGGAGCAGGAGGAGGAGGATGATGATGATGATGACGAGGAGAAGGAGGAGGAGGAGGAGGAGGAGGAGGAGGAGGAGGAGGAGGAGGGGAAGAAGGTCGTTTTGGGCGGGGGCGGCGTTCGTTCCCCGCAGCCGCGGCAGTCCCAAAAACTCATTGGCATCGAGAAACAAACATGCACGACTGATAATAGATTTCGGCAGTTCTCAGGGCCATCAACAAAGAAGCGGCCCAGGATGAAAAGCCTGTCCTGGGTAAAGGTTCGAGACCTTTGGGGGTCGACTTTGTGGAAAAGTCATGGCGTCGGTGGTCTGGGTCGTGTTGTGTCGTGTCGGGGGGTCGGTGATGTTGGTGCTCTGGCGCAGGGCCATGTTACGGCAGGCGGAGCCTTTCGAGCCGCCGGCGTCGACTTCGCATCTTTTGCGTGCTTCTGCCACTTCAGCACTCGTTTGCGGCCTATGTGTCGAGAGTCTGGGTCGTGGCTGATGTCGCGGCTCTGCCTGTGCCGAGGGGAGCCCCGACTC